GAAATAGCAAATGAATATATTAAATACTTTACTGATATCGGAAGTAAACATGCTAATAGGATTTCTTCAACTAATAATTCTATTCATCGTTTTTTTAAATCTACCAATAATTTACTTTTTCACCATGATTTGTTGCTAGATTTATCAATTATAGAGTTTTAAAGAATCACTAAAAAGAAAAAAAACAATCGGAATAAACGGAAACATTATTATAGATTGCTATGAAAGCTTGTAAGATATCTTTTTTAAAGTTTTCAAAGCACGTATAGAATAGAGCGGGGCATGTAGGGACACTTAAGAAACAAGTGCTAGTTGCGGATAAACTTTCCATAGTTAACACTTTCCATAGTTTTTTATATAATCCCTTAAATTCATTGATATAAGAAAACAAATAAATAAATAAAAAAATTCTAAATATAAGCTATGACAACCAAAGTAACTTTACACGAGCAAAATTTTTACATTTTGCTAGTGGGTGGGACAAAGCTGGACAGCTAAAAAAGCAACAGTTATTCATTAATTGTAAATTAAAAATGGCAAAAAATGAAGTCTATCATTTAAACATGTTCAGACATTAAACTAGGGTTGTTCGCCGAAAAACAAAACTTGCGAAAATTTCGCATCTTTATCTACCGTAATAGAATTGTTATTGCGGAAGTTGCACATGCAAAAATGCACATTCCGTAACGTGCTATACGAAAATATAAATCGTAAATAAAATTCCGTAATAAAGCATTGCGAAAGAAAACTTGCGAAACAAATCATTTCGTAAGAATACTTACAAAATAGTTCCTTACGGAAAAAGCATTCCGGAATGTGTAGTTACGAAAAAGACGCAAAAGATTTTATGTTACGATATATTTAAGATATTAACTGTTAACAGTTTAAATAATAAATAATAAAAAAATGTTGTCAAATGATTCTTCAAATGTTTATACAAATATACCTAATATATATATATATATATATATATATATATATATATATATATATATATATATATATATATATATATATATATATATATATATATATATATATATATATATATATATATATATATATTTAAGATATTAACTGTTAACAGTTTAAATAATAAATAATAAAATTATAAAAAAATGTTGTCAAATGATTCTTCAAATGTTTATACAAATATACCTAATATATATATATATATATATATATATATATATATATATATATATATATATATATATATATATATATAATATATATATATATATATATATATATATATATATATATATATATATATACACACATTAACGGGATTTTACTGTATATATATGTATATATATTTATATATATATATATATATATATATATATATATATATATATATATATATATATATATATATATATATATATATATATATATATATATATATATATTAATATATACATATATATATATACAGTAAAATCCCGTTAAGTTGGACTCTCAATGAACAGATAAACAGTATGCCTTTCTTTTTAAAAAGTATAAAGAGGATGTGTGATAAACAATTAAATACTTTATTATAAAGAACAAGAGATCTCTCTAAAGGTAAATGATATCAGAAAGAGTAAAAAGAGAAGAAATATATGTGAAACAGCGGGATGTGAACCTGGGTCTACGCGGCCAAATGTCTTAACTGAATGAGCTATACGTTCATTCAACTAAGTGAATAGTAATATTTATTTAATATATAATTAAGAAACTATATAAAACAGAATTTACAGAAAGAGATACGTATGCAAATAGGATTCTATATATCAGGAAAATGAATAGTAATGTGAACCTTTAGATGCTTATAATTAATATCTGGACTCAAAAACTACTTACTTTTGATGGAACACAATAGGCTGTAGGAGCCTCAGGGAAATTATATTCAGAAATGGTTATATTAGACTCAGAGTTAGCTAGAAATTATTACAAAGTATTTAGGACAGATGTCTAGTACAAAAAGCAAAAGATTTAAAGCAAAATGATTTATATTATTTGAAAAAGTTGTTTTACGTACATTTCATCATAATTTAAGTAGAACTTAGTAAAGCAAGGGAAACGTGTAGAATTAAGCACAATGAACTCAATCTTAAAAGAATAACTAACAGAAGAGAGATTGTCACTATTATGAAGGTGACGAAAGATCTGTAATATAGAACATGGAGGTCAAAAAATGCTATCTTAAGTAAAAAGAGTTTGATGAACAAAAGTTACAATGGCTGCGGGATGCGAACCCGGATCTCTGCGGCAAATTATCACGTATCTAACTGATTGAACTATACAATCTTATACTCAAATTTATATCTTATTAAAATTAAAAAACAATATTTTCTAAGATCTATACTTCGAAAAGCGTATTAAAACAGGACTCTACATACCTTTAAAATCTGCTAGAACTTTAGTAACGTGCACACTTTTAGAAATTATTGAAATAGGTATATTTTATCAGAAATATGCTTAAGCTAAAGCGTATTTTTGAGCCTCTTTTTACTATTTGCTTAAGCATATTCGAACCTGTTTCAAAAATTTCATATGCTTTAAAAAAAAAACATGTATATTCCTACCCATCATTCTTATATTTAATATACGTAATGAGTTCAAAAAACATCGTTATATATATTTATTATGGCACTTTTCGTTAGTTTATTTCCGTTAAGAATTCTTTCGTATGTTGTGATCCGAAATACTTTCGTTTCAAAAGAAATTTTATTTTTCATCAATATTTCTAAAAATAAAACCATAAAAATTTAATAGTTATTATACTGAAAATAAAAATTCATTATAAACATTTTGGGATTTAAAGATGTTAATTTTTACAATTAAAATCAGTCTGGCAAACAAATTTTCTTTATAGACTTCAAAACATCGTTTGGCGAAAATGTTTGTTTCGCAAGTGCGACTTCCGAAACCGCTACTTTTGTATGTTGCAAAATAGTTTTGTTTCGTATGTCAACTTGCGAAATGCTAAATTTCGGAAGTGGCTTTTGCGAAATGAACATCGGCGATTTTAAATGTTTTGTAACATTCGGTACGAAAAAATGTAATTCCATGTTCTCAATCTCCTTACGAAAGAATGTTGTTTTTCCGGAATTGCACGAAATCCTCCGGTTAACAACCCTACATTAAACTCTCAAAAAAGTAACATACCCATATAGAATACACGGCCATAAATCCATACACCTTAAAAAAGAAATAACAACTAAAATAAAAAAACTTTTTGCGTTTTAATATAAAATCAATTATATAAATAACTTATTGTCCCGATTATTGCCCCACAAAAGTCACTTTACTGAAACTAATTCTATTCAAAAAGATTTTTCTTTAAAAACCAGATACTAAACGAGGATAAAAAATACTGTCTAAAAAATAACTCTTTTATAAATAAAGCAAATTAGTAATAGTATAAGATAAATCTTTTCGTTGCATCGCTTAAGAAAACACGCAAATTTTTTTTTTGCAAACTTACTGATGCATTTTGCATTTAGTGTACTTTCATATATCTGAAACTAATTTTTTTTTTTTTTTTTTTACAATAAAGAAGCGCAATAATTTAAAATATTTTATGAACAAAAATTTTTTTTAGCTGAGGATTAAATGCAGCCGTGGCGCACTGGTTAGAGCGCTTGCTTAATAAACAGGAGATCAAGGTTCGAAACGAGCTTTGACATATTTCGCGTCACGATAAGGAAGGAGGCGTAAACTCTCTGGTTAAATGCATTTCCGCGGTGTTCTGTGACAAGACCGTTAGGACTTCTTGGGGCACCTAAATAACAAATTTAAAAATTAAGACTACAGACATAATTGTCCTGTTAAGCCGCACTATCAGGATATGCCTCGTTCTATCCAACAACAAAAGTTTTTTCTTGACCAACTAAAAATCCCCAAAGCTATCCCGATTCACAAAGATGGTGAAAATTCAAATGTAAATAATTATTGCCCTATCTCAACTATTCAAAAATTTTTAGAAAAAAGTTATATATAACAAGACATACAACTACCTGTGAAGGTTTAAACTCTTTTGATAAATCGCAATATTTACTTCGTGTTTTTATCGATTTATTAACAGCTTTTGACACAGTCAACCACGAAATTTTATTTAAAAATTTAAAAAATTTAAAAAAGAATTATACGGAATAAGTAGTACATTGATAAAATGGTACAAAGGCTACTTGTCAAATAGGAAGCCATCTTTCTACCAAGGGAATGAGCATCTTTCTATTAGTCTCAAAAAATCTTGATGAAAATCTGTCATAAAAAACTCATACTGATTATATATTAACAACAGTAGCATGTAAACTACTTTTTTAGTAAACGTTAGTAATATATTTGTACTACGTGAGTGCATCAACACAATTTTTAGTAAACGTTAGTAATATATTTGTAGTAAGTGAGTGCATCAACACAATTTTTAGTAAACGTTAATAATATATTTGTAGTGCGCGAGTGCATCAACACAATTTTTAGTAAAATTTTAGTAATATGTCAAACTACATTTGTTGTACCGCGGTGGAGAAATTGGGTAGCAACTAGCTACTAATGTTCCTAACGATAAAAACATGAAGATTTGGCCTGGAGGATCGCTAGCAAATTAAGCTAGAAAAAACTTTTATTACATTGTTGAATTACTTATTCATATTATTTGTTAATATTATTTGTTAATATTATTATTGTTATTATTATTATTATACATATTCTCAAAAATTGCTATAAAGCTAGCCATTCGCTAATTCAGTTCCCACCGGGACCTGCATCAACTACATTTATAATACGTGAGTACTTCACCTCCATTTGAAGTACAGAAAACGTAAGTAACAACAAACAACATATAAACAATGTGTTTAATTGGAATGTTAAAAATAATAATTAACAGTTATTGATCAACATTTGTAGCAAAAAAATTTAAATATGTTTAATAAATACATTATTGCAGAACATTTGAGACTTAACAACGCCAAACATTATTGAACCTGAAAAAATTATTTTTTTATCAGGAAAATGGTTCCAATTTTAAAAGGTGGAATGGTATTATAGGCGAAATTGTTGAGGGGAAAGCAGATATCGCTGTCGCGTCATTAACTATAAATAATGAAAGAGCTCAGTATATTGAGTTTTCAAAACCGTATAAATATCAAGGTAAGTTTAAGGTAATTAAAATGTTGTTTATTCAGGAGTTATAAAATTGTATTATATATTAATATAATTGTATAACTATCATATAATTAAATTAAAAGTTTGTATAACATTTAATAATCTTTTTTAGGGATATCTATTCTTATAAAAAAGACAATGCCAGTGGATGATCTCCTCTCATTCTTAAGACCATTTAAACCAGAACTTTGGTGGTTAGTTTTATTATCAGTGCATGTAGTTGCTGTAGTACTCTATTTACTTGACAGGTTCAGTCCATTTGGCGAAAAAGATTCCGATAACAAACATCCTTTAGACCTATTCTCTACAATGTGGTTTGCATGGGGAGTTTTAATAAATAGCGGAGTTGGAGAAGGTCACTACGTTAACTTTAAAAAACTTTGTTTATATTTTTAAAACTATAATTTTGAGCTGTTAAACTCAATGAGGTTTACAATGTTTATAAAATTATATAAATAATTGGGATACGTTATTAATGATGCCATTTATTTTAAAATATTATTATTTTAGGTATTCCTAGAAGCTTCAGCGCCAGAATTCTTGCTATGGTGTGGGCTGGCTTTTCTATGATAATAATTGCAAGTTATACTGCGAACCTGGCCGCATTTTTAGTTCTTGATAAACCAAAAAATAAAATTGAAGGAATTAATGATCCAGTGGTAGGTTTATTTTAGTCAGACCTGTAAATTTTTTCTTAAAATTAGATATAAAAACAAAATAAAAATTATAAATCGCTTAATTGTATAGCTTCGAAATCCATCATCAAGCTTTAAATACGGGACTGTCAAGGACAGTAGTGTTGAAGCATATTTTCGGCGACAAGTGGAAATGTCGAGTATGTACAATTTTATGAAAAACTACAATGTTCAATATGAAAGCGAAGGTATTTCAAAAGTTAAAAATGGGTAAGTTTTAGTTTAATGTAAATAATGTTAACATAATTCAACTTGAATTTATCATTATAATGCTTTTTCTATAATTAAATTAGCTTATTCTTTGTTTTACCTAGAGAACTAGATGCTTTTATATGGGACAGTCCCGTATTATATCACGAGACATCTAAAGATTGCAATCTACTTACAGTGGGTGATCAATTTGGTCGCTCAGGTTACGGCATTGGTGTTCCAAAAGATTCTCCTTGGAGTGATGATATATCGTTATCCATTCTTTATCTTCAAGAGCGCGGCATTATGGAAGAACTCGAAACAAGATGGATAAACTTTGGAACATGTGACAGCATTGATGATATGAATAAACCAACCACATTAGAACTTAGTCACATGCTAGGTTTATTTTAGTTATTATTTTTTTTTTTTAACATTAAAGTAAAATTGTTAAATGAATACAACAAGATTAATAATTTTGTTTATGTTTAAATTCAACCTATTTTTACAATAAACAGGTGTGTTTATAATGGTAGCTGTTGGAATAGGAGGAGGTTTAATCATTGTCATATTTGAAGTCCTCTATTATAAATACAGAGGGTGGAAGGAAAAACAGAAAAATGTGTTAAAAAAAAGCACACAACATTGGCAAAAACACGTTGAAGAAAATAAAAAAAATCGTATACTGACGAAACAATACATAAGTTCCTCACAAACTCCTAAAATTGCAAACTCAATGGTGTGCACAAATAACGGCTTTGAAAAATAAAAAAAAATTTTGTTATAGTAATCATAGAGATTTACGTGTTAAAATATTGTGAAAATATTTAAAATACTTAAATATTGTGCTATTTTTAAATTATTTTGCACAAAGTTGTTCTAAACAACTTTGTGCAAAATAATTTAAAAGTTTCTTTTTGTAAGTAAAGCATTCAAATGTTTCTATTGTTATATTAATTCTTTTTATGTAGATTTTAATGTTAAAAAGTCACATTCATTTAATAGTTTAACAGGATATTTTTACTTTGTTCAAAGTCCCGAGCAAGATTCTATATACTATTAATTAGATTAACGCATTTGTGCTAACCTAATTAATAGTAATATTCTTATTAATAGTAACCTAATTAATAGTAAAGAAACGTATTGCAAAACATTTTTATAGAGTTGGATAATACGTTTCTATGTTATATAATACGTTTCTCTGAAGTTCTTACTATTTGCCAGTATACATAATAGAAGCCTTTTTTTGGAAGTATGAATAATTTATGAGGAATTCCTAATGGTTTGTTATCATTAAATGGTGAAACTGTTTTCTACCATAACTTTCCACCTTTAGATTAAGTATCAAATATGCCGATTATTTGTTAAGAAAAATTAAATATATTGCTAATTAAAATGAACTCGTGTTAAAGAGTTTACCTTGGATTAATGTATAACTTGGATTAAACGACAGAAATAAACAAGAACTAACAAACAGAAAACAATATGAAATAATTAAAAAGAATTCTTTAAGTACAGTTAAAAATTATATAACAAACTTTTCATATTGGTTAATGAACAACAGTGGCAGATGAAAACTTTTTGAGGTACGCCTCTAATTTTAAAGCAAACAGCTCCTTTCACAGTCAGTAAGCACCTTTAGCGTACTGGTTAGCGCGCTAAAGGAGATCCGTGGTTTCACCTCTGGGCAAGTTTTATGACATCGGTAAAGAAGTAGGTATGAACTTCCTTTCAAATGCTTTCCGCAGTGCTTTGTGATAAGAGCGCAAAGACTTGGAGGCACCTAAAAGAAGAAGTTTAAAAAAAAAATGATTTTGCTCTTGAAAAAATCTTTTATTTTGAATAGGAGCCCCCCACAACTGCGGAGTCTCGGGCTATGTCATCCCCTCTTCTCAATAATAATTAAATGCACTTCCGCGATTAAATGCACTTCCACTGTGCTCTGTGATAAGGCCTTTAGGTCTTCTTATGGCACCTAAATAACAATAAAAAATAATAATAACCCAGCGCTGATAAACCATATGATAAATTGCCTCAGAAACGTAAGATCCGTGGTTCAAACCTCACCTCTGGGCAAGTTTTGCAACATCGGTTGGAAAGGAGGCGTGAACTTCCTATTAAATGCTCTTCTGCGGTGCTCTGTGATAAGACTGTAAGGACTTCTTGGGGCACCTAAATCAACTTAAAAAATAAATAAATAAATAAATCTAATGAGTTTGTAAGAAACAAAATTTCTTTAAGTGTGTATTAAACAAAATTTATCTCTTTCAATAAATTAAATAAAACTGATATTAAAATAATAAAATCTAATTACAGTTTTTATTTAAAGAAAATTATCAGTAATTTTTAAGTGTGAAGTTTTATGTAAATTGAATATAAAGCAAATCTAAACGGTTTTTCTTAGTTACGTATTACGGTTATAAATATATATATATATATATATATATATATATATATATATATATATATATATATATATATATATATATATATATATATATATATATATATATATATATATATATATATATAAATATATATATATATATATATATATATATATATATATATATATATACATATATATATATATATGTATGTATATATATATATATATATATATATATATATATATATATATATATATATATATATACATACATATATATATATATATATATATGTATATATATATATATATATATATATATATATATATATATATATATATATATATATATATATATATATATATATATATATATATATATATATATATATATATATATATATATATATTTATATATTAGTCTGTGACATTTGCCCCAACTTTGTTGTATGATGCTGTTCATTATTTGGTATTATATTTAGGCATAAAAATAAAGTTTTTTTGAAGATACCGGTACTCATCCACAGTTGAATGAGTACCGGTAAATTGAAAATACAAAATTTAGTATCAAAATTACTTGCGTTACAATAAGTTGATTTCTTTTATTAAATTTATTTTACTAAATAAAGTAATCTAGAGCACAAGATAATATATAGATAAGAAAAAGTTGCTTCACAGGGTTTAATAGAGTATAATAGTGCTAAACAAATTTACTTGTTTTTCATGAATCGAAAACATGATTTTTTTTTTGTGCTCCAAATGGCTTGAGCTTATTTAGAATTCGTTTTCCTCTACTTAGAGAACATCTCAAAAAAACTTCTCACCCTTAGTTGCATCTAGAAAGTTGTGGAAAACCTTCACACCACGCTCTGCTGCCTAATTTACCATCTGAAATTTGTCGACAAGCAGTTTCATGTTTTGATAGTTTTCCTTATAAATCTAATCATACTCTAAAATTTGGAAGAATTTATAGGGCATACCAAAAATGTATGCCATATAATATAACAAAAAATCTGAATAAATTTGTCTCAATTAGGTCAACTAGAGAGGTATTATATTTTATTGTAGGAGGAAGATAGGGCTTGCCATATTGCCTAAGGTTTAGTCCAACTCTCTTTTTAACAAAAGTGTTTTCCAAGATAAGAATCAATTTCCTCAATTCCTCTTCGGTTTTACTGCTATCATAGATAAGAACAGAGCCAACAGAATCAACTCCTCAGATAAGTACCAAATGTACCGACTGAATGACATGCGAGCCTTTTTAATTAAAGTTGGGTCACGCGTTGCAAATTTTGTTAGGTTTTCTACTAATGTCATTTACTGGTGTGTTTACTGGGTTAACACAAACAAGCCACCACTGCGCATAAACTAAAACTGTAAACATAACAAATCGTTCCAATGTTTTTATTTAGTTGTAAGTAACAATTTCAGCTTTTGGAAAATTTTCTTTGATCTGTCTAAGCCAATCACCAGAATATAAAGCAGTTTACGCATCCACCTTGCATTACGAAAGGCACCAGGAAAAAGCACCTTGAAGTTTTTGGTTCGGATCCTTTAGTTATTATGAGCAAAAAAAGCTAAACCAGCTCTTTGTAATCACCTCGTGTGAATTATTGAGTAAGAGAGTCACAAAATAATTTAACCATCGCTTGCTGACGTTTTTCTTCTATAGGTATCATATGAGGGTAATAATACCTTGCTTGTTCATCAGATGACAGTTTAGGGAAATGTTTCTTAAACCTAGAACAGCGAAAAAGATATAGTAAATAAAGGTTCATTTTTGTAAGTTGAAACTATAAGTATTTCACGACAATTGTAAAAAGTAAATTTTTGTATAACTTATTGATTGTCGATAAAACAAAAAGTACAACCTATTAAACTTTCCTTTGGAAGATCAAAATATTTAGACTAGCTGATATCTCCACTTTTAAACCTTTCCTGATTGACACAAAAGTATTTTATTTTTTTTAGATATATACATAATATATTTTGATTACATTCGATACAGTTAAATTAAGTTAAAACATCTATTTATTGTATATAAATTTATCCTTATAAAATTCTATTTAATTTAATACAATATTTCTAGGGATTATATATACTCTCGTTATTCAATTAATCAAGTTATTTGAATAAAGAGGGTATATATAACCCATAGAAATAATGTATTGATTAAAGATAATTTTATAAGGATAAAGTTATATACTATAAGCATAATGTTTTAACTTAATTTAACTCAATCGAATGTAATCAAAGTATATATGAGTGGGTCAGAAGCCAAGGGGTACAAGTGACAATTTTACCAAAATTAAGTTAAGTATAGAATTTGATAGAAGAAGCAAACAAAATTGTTGGTGGCTAAGAGATACAAATGAATCTCTGCCCTGTGCAGCTTTCTACTGGAAAAACATAACAACAGCTGAGTATATTTAACAAAAATACTTTAACTTTAAACAGCTGTATCTCAAAACTATGAAAATGTCACTTGTACCCCTTGGCTTCTGACCCACTCATATATGTAAAAAAAATAACGTTATCAAAAAAAATAAAAAAAATTGAACACATTAAAACGTAGCGCAGTGAAAATTTCAACATGCAAAGGTCAAAACAAAAGGTCGTATATTAATCTTTTTAATCATTTGCAATTAACATGCACATGTTAATGGCAATGAATGTTTATTTTATAATGTACTTGATCAATTTTGTAAACCCTTAAGGATGCTTCTAAGTCAAGAAGTTGTTAAAATATGTATGAAAAACATGTAAATACTGGGAATACATCTGTAACATTTAGAAATAATCTATCCTTATGGAATTTGAAAATATTTATACATATTTACCGATAACTTTATAATTATTTTAAAAAACAAATAATTTAATTTTTTTAGGAGGTTTTTTTACATTATTAGGACATAACTTTTACAATTTTTTATGTAAAAAAACTCTGTGGTAATAGATTTATCACACGTTTTAGTAAATTAAGATAAAATTAATTTAAATGCATACTTTATTACTTTAACTAACACTTTATAAAAAGATTTTCTGCCCCCACTTGCCCCCCCTCCCCGTCGCCTTATGTTGTCAAATGTTGATTTGACCAAATTTTGAAAATTTAACAAAAAATTACTTTACAAAAGTTTATACATAATGTGCTTAAAATTTTTATATTCCAGTCATTGTTTTTTAAAATTTAATAAATAATAAACACCGCTACCAACGTGATGATCAATTAATTTTAATTGACCTCAAGTCGTTGCAGCGTTGACCTTAAACCGTTACATCGTGCTATAACGGTTTGTGGTCAAAATAAATAAACTACAAAACCCACTTTTCATAATTAAAATTGAAAAAATTACTTGACAGTTTCAACATGATGAAGCGGCAAGATTTGCATAATAAACTTTTAGAGGCCGAGTGGGAAAAGAAGATTAACAGAATATGTCAAGGCTGACATTATTTTAAAGGGTTTGTATATATTGATGAGAGTAAA